TTGTAGTACTGAATGGCTGCGTTCAGCAGACTCAACAGTTTTGCAACCGTTTTATGATTGTCTGCTGAGATAGGACCATTCTTCTAGATCTAAAAGTATGATCCAATTAGCGCGAAGGAAACTTACAATAGTTGCAAAACAAACGTTCTGCTGAACGCACCCAATGCACCCAGTGTCGCAAGCGTGTCGCAAGCGTTATGATCCAATCAGAGTCGAGCTAGCTTGATGTTGATTGGACCGCAACGCTTGCGACGCTGCGATGCGACTAATGTAAAACCAGCTTTACCTCGGATCTACATTGGCTGCATTCAGCCGACTCAACAGTTGAGTGAGCGTTCGCTGCTATTGACGTATTCTTCTAGATCTAAAATTCTGATTGGATAATCTAAAAGAATACACCAATAAGAGCGAGTGCTCACTCAACTGTTGAGTCCGCTGAATGCGCCCAATGACTGTGTTCCAAATTTACTGCCAACACTTTAAATGCAACAGTTTACGTTACGTGCACTATAGATTTTCAGTACAGGCATTCAATTTTGGAACATAGCCCATAGGTATTTTAAGCCTTAAGCCGTAAGAAATTGACGAATCATAGTCGATTATTCTCCTCGAATTCGACTGTAATTGGTCAGTTTCTTACGACTTAAGGCTTAAAACACCTATTGTAGATCCGGACTTAAGCGCGTTGGAGTGAGTAAGAGCTATGACAGGAGCATATTGGAACATGTTGGAGCATGCGACGCGAACAAACCTTTGAGTTCCTCCTCTGCTTCTGCTGTCTGCACTCAAATGATGAAGGTGTTGATAGGTGTATAATTGAACGTTGAAAGGAAAGAGAGGAAAGATAACAAGGTTACAAAAGTTCAGTACAAGGTGTAAATCTATCTACACCTTCGCTTAACTGCGTGAGATGAAAGATCTCGAAAATCGAATCGAAACCAGAACTAGTCAGAACTAGTCGAACTTTCAACTTGGGAGTCTGGAATCCAGACTCTGGATTAGTCTGGAACCATTATGGATTTTCGTTCATTGTCGTTCCAGAATTCAGTTCATGCTATGCTTTCATGCGAGCGTATCGTAGGATCTCAGGACGAAGAACGATAAAGGAATAGATATTTCTGAAGTCTTTAGATAACATATATATATTTTACTTTAACTCAACCGTATCACGAATAGAGATCATAGGCGTGGTGGACGTTGTGTCTAGTGTCCAACTGTCTAGGTGTGCTCACTGCCCAGTAATGTCAGTTTAACTCGAGTCAGCTATGCCGTCTGGCTGTGGCTAATCGTGAGAGAAGCAAATAGACGCGATTAGCCACATCTATACGCTTGATAATTCGCCAATAATACGACGGGATCGTTCGCCACTACCATTGTTTTTCTTTACGAGGACCGTCGTTTAAACATCATCATGTCGCAAAGCGCGAATTCGAGGATTGATTCGTACATGAATAAATGTCGCGCGTGTATGAAGGAGGGTGTCAAGATGCTGCTCATGTACGATGATAACGTTAGCGAGATCAACTTGCCGTACAAACTCGCGCAGATCACGTCTATCAAGGTAAACGGAAATTTTGGAAATGCAAAACTTTTGTACCTAACCTCAACAAGCGTCTTTAACAAGCAGATTTTTAGAGCCCAGCCTGACCATGATCTTGTCCATAGACATGAGGTCTGTGTTGTTTGAAATTACCAAAAAAGTTTGCATTTAAAATGATATATATATATATATTTTTTCGATGAAGATGAAAAAAGAGAAAGCGAAGATACTGAGTGCAAAAAGTGCAAGCAACTTAACAGACCTATGATTAACATCTCTCTTTAGCACAAAAGATTTTTTCCTCAAGTATCATAGTAATTTAACTTACAAGAGTGTTGCGTAGCATGCACTAATTAAGATTTGCTGCTGCTTCTTTATATAGACTTTCTAAGAAAAATGATTGCTTATGTCGTTATATGTAATTAAGTAAGAGGATTTCTATTTTCAGTCAAAACAGATTTTAAATATTTTGATGTGAATTTATATACATATCCAATTCTGCAAACCGTGTAATGAAAATAGAATCTTTATTTAGTTAAATTTATTCTCATCAGTTCAATTTTAAATTGTTATTAGTATATGTTATTCTTAATATGTTAATAATATTTTTTTTCAACAACAGATTGATCAATTTGATGGATTGCCTAACATGCTCTGTCCAAAGTGTGCATATCGAACGAATGCTTTATATGACTTCAGACTAGAAGTGCAAGAATCAGATAAGAAATTCAGAATGATGCAAGAATCAGACAAGAAATTCAGAATGATGCAAGAAACTAAAATTAACACTCTCAAGGTATAGTGACAGAAAATAAAAACAATATTAATTTGAAGTTTATATCTGTTGAATATGCGTTACACAAGTAAATTTTGAATAATCTACAAACATTGAATAATTTGTTATCAGTCATAAAAATTAATTTATAAATAAGTATTTAAAGGATATAAAATTATCTAAAAGATATCTTTTTGATGTCATTATAATGTTTTTTTTTTTTTTTAGAGAGAACAATTAAATGCTAAGGAAGAAAAAAGTGATGTACAAAAAGATCTATCTTTGGAATTAAATATATCAAGTGATATAAAGTCAGATCCTACTGATACTTTTGAGTTTGTAAACGTTAAAACAACAGATGAAATAGACCAACAACAATATGAAATTGTACCTCAGTTAGTTGAAAATAATGAAGATGATAAAGAGAATGATGAATCACAGTTGAATGATGTTTATTATAATATTATTGAAAGTAACGAGGATCAAATGGATGTTCAGATGATGAAAACTGAATTACCTGAAGACATTTCAAAAATATTAACAGAAAATGTCACAATAATGTATGTACCAAAATCTACGATTGAGTCGATGTCAGTCGAGAACACGTTAACGCTTGATCCGGAGCAAGAAGAAATCATAAATGACAATAATACATTTATCTCTGAAGTGGAAATCTTGACTGAAGAAACTGAAGAAGCCTCAAACAATGTATGCATTTCCAGTCCCGTGGAACCTAATGCAATTAAAAAGAATAAATGTACCTATTCGAAACAACAAAATGTAACATCAGTAATAAAGGTTGAGAAACAAGAAAAATATTATAATGACATGATACAAAACGGAGATAAAGAAGAAACAAAACTCAATGAGAGTAGTTCTAATATTGAATTCAAAGTAGAAAACAGCGATGAATCTGATTCTGACTACTTTGTTGATGATAAAGACAATATATTAGGCAGTGTGAGCGATGCAATTATACGGATAAAGGAATTCAAACGAGAAAATGGGACCGAATATCAATGCACGTTATGTTTACAGAATCATAATCAACTAACTAGTGTACTATTGCATACTGTTGAGAATCATGTCCCTTCCAACGGTCCGTTCTTTTGCATGGTGTGTGAAAAGGACTGCAAAAATCGTCGAGAGCTGCGAACACATGTGAAAACGCATACTGGCGAGTTACCATATTCCTGCTTCCTTTGTAAAAAGGCATATAACAGAAAGAGATATCTGAAGAGGCACATGGCATGTCATCCCAACTTTTCACGGCACCGCTGCCTGAAGTGTGGTTGCCGCTTTAAATCAAAATCAGAATTAGACAGCCATGCGACAACACATGATATCGTTGCACCCTTTGCTTGCAATCAATGTACGCGTGTATTTAATCACAAAGGCAATTACAAACGGCATTTGATCAGCCATTTGGATCCGCAGGGTCTTCATTTGCCTAAATATCCGTGCACTTATTGCAACAAACGTTTTCCTAACAATCGTACACTCCAAACGCATATACGCGTACATACTGGTGAAAAACCGTTCAAATGTGACGTTTGTCATAAGTCATTCTCACAACGAGGCAACTTATTGAACCACTCAAAGATACATTGGAATCCTCGCAGCTACACATGCGAAGTCTGTGGCAAAAGGTTTGTAACTTGTATACATATATTTACAATTTAATATAAATAGGCAAACTTTGAAATATATAAGATATAATACAAAATATCGTAATTTAAAAATATTTTAAATGTATATCATAATTATCATTTAAAAAGAATAAATTTATTAATTGTATTATTATATTATACTGTTCATTAACATCTTTGTTATGTAAATAATATTTTAGTATCGTAAATTTCTTTTTAAAAATTTTGGATTAAATTTTTTAATGACAATATTTGTATATTTCATTGAATATAATATTTAATAAAACATTCTTATATATAATTATAATAGCTTCAATCAACGTGCTACATTACGAGATCATGCATTATTGCACACTGGTGAGAAGCCTCACATATGTAATGTGTGTGGAAAAGCATTTACGGTTAGTGCGGCGTTGAGGAGGCATATGTTCAATCATGTTGATGTCAGGCCGTTCAATTGTGATAATTGTGGCATGGGATTCATCGGTAAATACGATTTACGACGACATATGCGAGTGCATGAGAACCGACCTAAGGAAAAGCGTAAAAAAAACACCAAAACAACCAATTTCCTTCAGCAAAAATCAGAGGAAAGTCATGTTGCGTTGGAAGAATCGAAAACTGAGACTGTGCTCATAGAAATAGAAGAAGAGCTTTTATCACAAAACATTATACAGACCATACCGCAAATCGAATCTGAAAAGGAAAATGAGGATGCACTATTTAATCTTCAATCTTATTCAGTTATATATACAACTGAGGATAGATCATAGATGTGTAATATCAAAGGCATAGAGAATGGATTGCGCGATCCGTGTGTCAAAATGGTCGATAAAAGTAAGAGAGGGACCGTGGAAGACGGCCATCTCTTTCTATTCAACGATGTAATGAGAGAGAATGAGAGGGAGATGATTGGTCATATACCACGGTCCCTCTCTCTCATTATTGTCGACCACATTTGAATACTATTTAGATACGAATCGCGCAGTCCATTCTCTATGTCTTTGTGTAATACATACTAACTATCTTATTACAAACATATTTTTGTTTTAGTCTTATATTCACGTATACAGTGTTGCAATTGTTTTTTTTCTCTCTTCAACTCGCTCCGATTAGGTATAAGTTTATACAGCACTTTATCAAGGTATATTTTTACTTCTTTTGAAGTTAACAATCAATTAACTTTTTGCCTAAATATACAGAATGTTTGGCAATAGGTAAAAGAAAATTAATAAATGAGAAAATGATAAAATAAGACAAAAATCATGAGTAACAAAATTGCGAATTCGGATCTTTTAATTATCTTAATATTATTAATTATAAATGTTTCATTTATGTATTTTAAATATTCATGTGCTTTAAAAACACTTTATGTGAATATTTTAACACTCATAATCAAAAAACGAAGCAATTTTGTTATTGATTTTTGTCTTATTTTATCTAGAATAACTGTTTAAATTTTCATCTGTTGCCGAACACCCTGTATATTATTCGAAAATAAAATATCTAATTTTCGAGATGAGCGATTTTTAGTATTGCTAACTATGTATAAATAATTAGAAATAATTTCTTTTTTATGATACCATTTACAAATCTTAAAAAATATTTCATAAATTTTTTCTTTTAATTTCTGTTAATAGAAATAATAGTATAGAAATATTCTCTTATTACACATACAAAAATGTAATTATTATATAATTATTATATTAGTAATTTATGTAAATTACAGATTAAGTTAATTCAGACATATTTTGTATCCAGAAAATTTTTAGGGTACAATAAAGATTCCAAAGTTTGAAGTATAAATTGTAATGTGTATATAAATAATTGCAACATATTATTAAATTCATCGACGAAGCTTATTAACAATATATTACATTGGCTGCCACGACGCATCATTTATACGTAAACACTCCTTGTTTTTAATAGCTTCCAATCCGAATGATATAAAATTTTTTGTGAGAAACTTTAATGTTTAGGATCCTCTTATTGATAAGCCGATAAATAAAGAATGTAGATATGTTTGATATTTCAACTATTGATAGGGCTGCCATCCGTTCGGATTTTCCCGGATTTGTCCTAGTTTTGAAGGCGTCAAGGAGCGTCCGGGCAGATTTTTCGAAGCGGTCCGGATTTTGTATAGTTTTTCATTATATTCGTATTATTATTATTAAATAACAACTGCGCAAGCGTTGTCATGATTTAATATAAAATTTTAATATAAAAAATTCAATATAGAATTTTAATATAAAAAAACTTGGCGCCGCTAGATCAAATCAAGTTTGCTAGCGGTGCTAAATTTATTTTTATATAATATATAATTTTATAATATTATATAATAATTACATTAAAATTTTTTTATTTCAATTAGATGTTCTTATTTTCAACTTTATTTAAAAATAGTTATGTAACATTAGTGTTTCAATGAAATGTATTTTCTGTTTATGATTAGCGCAATTTAAAGATTTCACATATTTTTTGAAAAAAATTATTATTTTATACTTTCATTCCAGTTTGGAAAATACGTTTGGAATAGGTTTGGAATAGGAAGTCATTATTTTTTCTTCAAGGAGCACATATACAAGCGCGTATAATAATTTATAGTAGGTTTTTTCTGAGAGGAGCATGCACACTTGGCGCCTTTTTTTATTTTGTTTTAAAAAGATAAATTTATATTAATAAATATATTTCGTAACTATTTGAACTTTCGTTTTATTTGTGAAAATACTTTTAGGTATAAAAATGTTAAATATTATATTAAATAATCAAAATTTACGATGAAAAAATTAATATTAACATAAAAAAAATGTCTGGGTTTTAGCTGTAGAATCCGGAGATTTGGAGCTTATTGTTCTAGATTAGTGATTTTATAGATGGCAGGCCTAACTATTGATATAAACTATTGATGTAAACAATTTGTTTAAAATGCAAATGTTAAATTTGATTTGTCATTGTACAAGCGTTTTATAAGTAAGCATATATTTATATATTTATACCGCAACAATATCATATACAATGTATTACCATATTTTTTTTCTAATTGTTACCTGCGTGAATAACCGTCAGACGTAAACATTAATGAAGATAACAGAAGAAATAAGAATATTTATTATTCGTGCACATATATATCTGAAATTAAATTGATAATCGTCGAAATTTTAACAGTCATGCAAACTTCCATGTCAACAGTGATTTTTATATAATTTATTGTTAAATCTAACATATGTATATATATATATATATATAGATGTACGACTTATTGCTAGTTTTAGCTATATAAAATATATGTACTTTACAGCTCTTAGTTTAATAGAGAGTTTTTGTCTTACATATTTTAAAAAACTAAATTATTTTTCAAATTATTTTTTAGTTATACGTATTTTATGTATACATAGGATCTGTTTCAGTGGCTGAACTAATACACTTTTGGAATCTTAAAGTATATGTTTGACATTTGGTAAAAACGAGAGATAGAGTTCAGGAGAAAGAGAGTTTAGGTGTAGCAGGAATAAAAAATAGATCCATAACTTTAAAGTTTTTATAATCTCTAATGGTCAAATACTTCAAATTTATCACGGATTATTCGTAGAAACAGCCCAGACAGCACAGAATATTTATGATAAATATTTATTAATATTCATTTTTTGAAATGTTATATAGATATTTCATACATATTTTATATAAAGCTTTATTCGAAATATTATTAAAATATAGACTAAATATTTTATGCAATATTTATAATAAATATAAATAAATATTTCTAGTAAGTATTTTTTTACTTGGTTTATAATGTCTCATTAAGTATTTTCATAGCATTTACTATAACATTCATAATAAATATTTCATAATATTTATAATAAATGTTTATGATCTGTGCAATCTAAGACCACAAAAATATATATTTACAAAATATTTAAAATAAATCTTATAAATATTTATAAACATTTTGTAAATATTTTGTAAATATTGTGTGCTGTCTGGGAGAGTACTATTTTTTTACCACAGAGAGCGCCACGCGTGTTATTTCATAATTCTCTGTCGGTCTGAGAATCAGTAGGTATATTTTTTAGATTGGAGCATTGTGTGATGAAAGCTGTTTATATAATCAAGAAAGTTTTCAAAAGATAAGTTTTCACAAATAAGATGTTCTATAACTACTCGAAAAGGAATGCTGTGAAAAATTGGTAAATAATATATTTCTACACCGTAATGATAAACACATTTTTACACCGTTTTAGTGTAGATGTCTCTTTAATTTATATTTTTAATAATAATTCGTTTGGAATTAGTTAATCTTTCGATCTTTATTAAACTATTCTTTAAATTTGATTGGGTAATTAAATTTTCTGTACTTTCTAACTTCTTTACCATCCACTAGATGTCGTAGTCAGTCTATAAAGTTATTAAAAATCGAAGAAAGAAATTTTATGGTTTTGTTTTAATTGACTAGTATGGAAACGATTGATAGCTATATTTCTTTGTATTAATTACTGTATGTATTAAATATAAAACGGATATTATATATATATATATATATTAATGGCTCAAGTATTGTTGTGATTATTAGTTTACTGATTAATTGGTAGTTGTTTTACGAATGAAATTCATAGTTTGGAAATATGAATCCTGAAGCCGCGCGCGTGTGCATTCAGTAATATTAGATAGGACAATTAAATTAATTAATTATATGTGCGAAACTCGAAAAGGTTTCATCGTATATATTTAATAATTCTTTAAGAATTGAATCGTAAATTAATTAATAGCAAATTAATTATTTCTGGTAACTCTTTAAATATCGATTAAATATGTCTCGGCTTTTCTTTAGAAAATTATCTGTTTTTGAAATGGAAACTATATAAAGCCAATTGTTTGTGATTCTTGAAGTACTATATCACTTTAAATTGACATTTATATATCCTTTTGCAAAATTTTTACGAAACATATATATAAAAAAATTTTATATTTTAAAATTAATGTCATTGTTTTATTTTCAGATTCTTTGCTTACTGATTACTGATTACTGATTCTTTGCTTTCTCTTTGCCTTCTTTCCATTGTGTTTTTATCTGTGTATTTTATTCTTACATACATCTGATTCAAATCAAAATCATAAACTAATAAAATTTTGGAATACAGAAAGTCTATAAATTAGAACTTTGTATCGAAGGTATATGATATTCTTTTTAATATAAAAAAAACGAATACAAATTAACAAATAATAACGTATATATTACTATTTGATTATGGAATATGAAATAATAATTGTTAGTTCAAAGTAGTCAATGAAATGTATCAATAACCAGAACATCAATTTATACTACATCAGTTTAAATATAGGTTACAATACAATAAACAGTTAAAAAGTTTTTAATGTCCAAAAATCTGCATAAACTAAAATACAAAATAATATGTCTAGTCGCACTATGAATGTTTTCACAACGTGAATCGGTAATCTTTCTAACAGCTTTGATTGAATAAAATCGCAGTTGCACGCATTCCACATTTTTTAATCGAATACACGGATTAAAGTGAAAATTCGCACGGTACTTCCGAAACCAAATACGGCTGTTTCATTCTAATTTTCTTATGCAATTTATATTTAGTATTCACTGCTAACATATTCGAAATTTGAGCCACGATTGGTGCCAATTTCACACAGCAAAATACGGCTAAACGCTTCATTGAATTCCTGCCGTGAGCACATGCGAAAATTTTCGAGAAGGAGGCCAACGAAAGAGAGGAAACGTCGTGGAGTATCGATCAAGAACAAAGGATTCAAACGGCATACGACGAGAGAACGTGTGAAAGCACCATCCAAATCGGAGCGCGCGTTCGCGGGAGTCGTCGGACATAAAAATCAACGATGTTGCTGGCTGCGCGTTCGGTGCGCAATTGAGAGCTGCGGGAAGCGTCGCGCGTGGCTGCGCGGCGCGCGACTGCGCAAGTCGCGCATGCGCGAGCGACGTTGAACGGCGAGTAGTCGCTACGGTGGCGCCAGTCATGGCGGCTGAAAACACACGCGCACGCTGCCGCCGCCGCCGCCGCCGCCGGTCGGTGCCTCCACGCCTCTACCTCGCCTCCGCCACCGCCACCGATCCCACGACTCGTGGGTAAGTACCCTCACACTCCACGCTCCAATCAGTCTGCACTCGCATGTCCACGAGGTTGCTCGCACGGGCCTGGCGGCATCCTCTCTCTCTCTCTCCCTCTCTGTCTCTCTTTCTCGTTTCGTCCGCTCGTACTCCTGTTCTATCATTCTCTGTCTCGCTCTTTCCCCCTCTCTCTCGTTTACCGTCTGTTTGTCTGTCTCTCTCGCTCTTTCATTCACCTGACTCTTAACGCGAGCAGTGCGTTACACAGCACGGGGGTGATACCGGTCGCCAGTCGAGGTACTGGTCGCGGACACCGCAGCCGTGGTTGAGGTTAGGTCGACGGACCAGTCGGCCGTAGTGGCGGGACGCGGCGCGGCGGATTTGAATTTTCGAACCCACCGGTTACCCGCGCCGTGTTTACGCGGCTTCGCCGGGTGCCGCAGATCGATTCGCGCGCGCGTCGCGATCGGAGGATCGCCAGGGATCGTCGTCGCCGTCGTTGTTTTTCCCGCCGGACGGTTGCAGACCGGGTTTGTGATTATCGTCATCCACGATAACCGGGCAAATCGTTACGCGCGCTTGCAGATTAGGTGAGGCGACGTTAGACCGACGAGCGTTTTGTCGAAACGAACGGAAACGCTCTGTGAGGACGATGCGCCGCGAGTTTTTAACGTCATCACCATCGCCGCCACCGCCGTCGTCGTCGTCGTCGTTGACATTGTTATTGTCGCCGAGGTCGTCGCATTCGCGTCTGGTGGAAACGCGCAGCGACGGAGACAAGCAGCGGGCCCTGTGAGGTTTCTGTGAATGTTCTCGGACAGCCGCGTGCCGCGGCTAGCCGCGCATCAGTTTCTCAGTGCACACGAGGAAAACGTATGCGTGCTGGTGATCAACATGTCTATTCTTGCGCCCGGAAGCGCCACGCGGATCTCGCTCGGTTCCGCGTATCGTGTCGTGTCGCGTCGTCGTTGAATTCACGTCGCGTCGCTCGGACAATGAGAACGTCGTGGTCTGCAGAATATGCTCCAAGCCGTCGCTCCGAAAGCGGAGCGGTCACGCGATTATCTCGAGTCTTGCACACTTTCGTCATATAACTATTGGAACATAACTGCTGTAGCGAACGTAGACGTAACACACATTCTACAATAAGTCGTTATTTAATCCTCCATGATTCAACCGAGACTTTGAAGACTCAGGCGAATTTTCAATTTTGAATTATTCTACTTCAAATTCGGACATATACAAAGAAAGTGAAACGTTTCGAATCGTACGTGAGCAGTTTGATAAGTCAATGACTCTGTAAAAGGAGACTGTGTTGAAAAATAAGTCGAATTTTTATATCAAAAAAGTTAAAAAACAGTCACTTATTAAACTCGTGTCATTGTAAAATTGTATTTTTGAATGTTGTGAAATAGTGTGAATTTTTTTTAGATTTTTTTGTAGCTCACAAACCTTTTAAAAAACACAATTAGGTACCAGTGATCCGGTTGGACTTAGAAAGCAGTGAAAAAAATGTTGGACTATGGAGGGTTAAGCTTCAAGTCTTAAGCCATAAAAAATTGATCATTCACAGTCGAATGTGAAAAGAATAATCGACTGCGATTAGTCAATTTCTTACGGTTTACGACTTAAGCATAGGTAATAGTTTATTGTAGAAAGCCCCCAAGAAGACTGTCCATTTCTATGAAGTTGTCATTATCGATTTAGAAAGAATAATGTGTAGCTTATATATTGTTCTCTTTTTCTCTCTAAAATATTGAATTTATTTTATCCATTATATAGCAAATTAAATTTGTTAAACATACGAATAATCAGTGTCGGTTTGTAATGGTATTAACTTTTTACTTATATTCGTTAGAGCCTTTAATATATTAATATTGTCTAAAATATTGAAGAGAAATTCAGACCTACGACATTACGTTCTCTTTCTAAATCGAGCACAGATGCTACAATCAGGAAATGTGCAGTCTACTTTTTTACGTCTATGATAGCGAAAGTGCTTTGCGTTAGCAACGATGAGAATGTTGTCGATTCTTTGTACGAGACAAGTGAATTTTATTACGCAAAGTTCACTTTTTTGCCTCAGAAAAGAAACGCTATCGATAAAAATGACATAGAATAATTACGGTGAAAATGAAAATCGTTAGATTGTTGCGTAGAAGCTAGGAATTTATCTGCGTGTATCATTATTCGAACGTTGATATTTGAACGTTTTTATATTAATTTCTTAACGTTATTTGTATTGGCTGATTAGATAACGTTACAGATATTGACAGCTGCCAACCGACTGTTTTATGAACGATTGACAAGAGGCTCTTGTCTCTTTAATGTGAGTAACGAAGCTTCGTACTTTAACAAAATTTTGAAATGTGTAATCTGTATTATCGAATTATTACTGCATATTTTAAAGCAGTATAGAGATAACGTCAGAAGTTTATAGACGCGCGGAAAACGTTTTGCAAATCGGGAACATGAAATTCTGCAGAAGTATTGCGTAAGTGCATTTAAATATGCACAAAAGATAAAAGGATTTATATTTGAAGTGGACTCGAAACTTGTTTACCCAAAATAATGTTTTGAACTAGTTGTCAATCCGATTATTTTTAGTTACTTTGTATAAAATTATAAGATGGGGATACATCATTTATTCACATGATCATAAATTGCTAATAGACTGATAAGTCAATTACGATTATTATATCACATTGATTGTAATTAATCCTTTTTCTTTACATCTTTACATTATTAAGCAATTTAGAGAATTATTTGCAATACTTGAGCGATGCAGAAATACATGAAAGTAATTTTTTGATACTTGATTTCTTAAATTTTTTGTTATTCTTGATTTGGATTTTTTATTATTTTTAATTTTTGATTGGGATTTTTGAAATAAGAAATAATTGATAGAAACAGCAATTAGAGCCTTATAGTTTTTTGTCAATTGTTCATAAAATTGTGCTCATAAAGCTTTCGATTCGATTGTTATTTCTAAAAATGAGATTTTACATGAATTTTTTGAAATATTCACCACTAATATTTCTCACATGCGATTTTCTATCGAGCGCGAGTATCGTTCAGTCGTTGTCGCGAAAGCGAAGCCGATCTGGCATCGATCGACGCAATTACTCGCGGATCGAATTCGATAGCTTTCAGGTTGAAAGGTTAGAAGTAGCAGAAATTGTCGGCAGATCGACATCCGATCCAACACCGGTGATTAATTGACAATCGCGATAATTAATGATACACGCGGTATACCGCGATCTCGTGCCACGACACGCTGATGTATTCTATTAAATCGCGTTTTGCGGAAGAAAATATCGAGTGAGTTATGAGCAGGTTTGCTCGTATTTATTCATTTTTGAGGGACAATTGTAACAACTGTCACAACAATTTAAGATTGTTAAATATTTTCGCTATACATGACTTGATTTTTTAAGCATTGTCCATTTACTACTTTAAATGGCATGTTTATCATTTTTGATCTACGGAAGTTTATACCGCTAAATGAATAAATTTTATCATATTAATAATTTAAAAATTTTAATGTTCTAAATACTCAATTTAAATTACATATTGTAATCAAGAGTTTAAAGTCAGGCATTTTGAGAATTGATAATGATCTAAGACTGTAAAATTTAATTAAGATAATGAAGTTTTTCTTATGTGAGTTTAAAATTTACCTACACAATAACTGCATACTATAAGAATGAACGAACTGAAGATTTTTAGATTCTTTTATTAGATTTCAACAAGATCTTTACATATTCAAAGTATAATTTTACGATATGTGAGTTCTATAATAATGGCAATTGTTCTAACATTCTAGAAACTATTTCAAAAGTAATAAATGTAATAAATGTAATAAATTGAAAAAATAGTGATATAATTATCACAAATTGTACAGTTTCCAACATGATTGTAGAGAATGCTGTTGGTTGCTGGACTTACCTGACTGTTCCATAATTAATTAAACTGTTTTATGTACGAGAAGTGCTAATATGAAATTGATAAAATTATAATTTCATTCCGATAGGAAACACGACATAATTCTCGATGTAATTAATGCGCCACGACGTAATCCTCATTGACGAGCCGAGCTAATTTATTGAATTCACTTTTCGATCGATGACCTCTTATATCCAATTTTGCGCATTCTTAAATTGTAAAATCCGAATTGTTTGAATTGTAATTTTAAAGGCAAAATTCGTAAAAAAGTCTGGAATGGAAATTAACAAAAGAAAAGTTCAGAATGTACGTACTATTTTTAATCCATCATATGCATTCTTTGAATCTAAGCGTTTTTTAATATTATCATATGTAAATTTTAATACACAATTTTACACAGTTTTTATAGATTATTGTTAACAATTTTTTTATTAATGATTTATTGAAAATAAATTGTCAATTTTTGACAACTTGTTAGAAAAAATAATTTAACAATTATCAAGATAAAGAACATCGATAAAGTACTTAAAATAATTTCTTATTGGATTATATTTTCTTTGAGAAAGCTTTGAGAAAGCTTTGAGAAAAACATGTGCTCTTTTACGAAATTTATAACAAAATGCTGTACATTAAAAGAAAAAATGAAAAATGAAGTTATTCATCGATCGAGAAATAAGCATAAATCGCGCATAACGATAGTCTATTCATAATCATCAATATTAAAATTGTAAAGGTCTGATTAATTCATAAATTTAATTAACAATTAATAATTGATTAGCCAATACAAACGCGATCGATAAAGTATGTCTGATCATCGCGGTCGCGTTTTCGAAATTACGCGAAATTCTCTTCGAGTCTTGCGTTGCCGAGCGTATTTAGAATAGGAAAACGATTAATCGACGAGACACGGAAGGAAGAAAACGACGTATATGTTTTAGATGGATAATTCTGCGTACGTACCGAATCACCTACCGCCACCATCTCTGGTCGTGTTCTCGCAGGCCGGAGGGCTGCCTGAGGCCTTGAGAATGCAAAGACCATTCAATCCACAAGTTAGTGTCCCATTGTCCTTACCCTTACGCCTATAAGCCTCTGCATGCTTGCATTTACGCGATTGCGCTGCGTTTCGCTTACTTGCAACACGTTGAAACGTATTTTAACCCTTTGTCTCTCTGATAAAGATTTCTATTTTCTTTTATTCTAAGATTCTCATTTATTTATGAAGAAGAAAATGTGATTATATAAATGCGAATAAACTTGATCACTCGAAATATATCACTTTAATTTTGATTGGACTCCGATATATCTTTACTTATCGTGAATTGCGCACAGTTAGACGTTGCGTAATCGTGTAAAATTTATATTTGTGTGATTTTTTAACTGTATTAAAATCGATGAAGGAGTAAGATTTATTGGAGAATTATATTGGAGGATTAAATCACTTTCACGCTTGCATCATGTAGAACGAAACTGCACTGCGGTAATTCGAGCGTATCGTATTTGACGGTAACATACGTCACTATTTGGCAGAAAAGTAACTTGAAATATGTACAAAATAAACAAAAAAAAAAAACAAAAAGTAATTGTTGGCATTGATTTCAATAAGCCCGTCGGACTGCTCGAGTTACTTCCATCTCGCTTTGCATATCTGTGCCGCTTTATACACTGCAGTACTAATTAATGCACGCAATGAATAGAAATTTGATTGTATACGTGTGTATAAATGTGAATGCTCAAATAATAGTTAGTATCAAGTCAATGATGCACAACTTTCTTTTATTGAACAAATTGTTGCCTTGTTTTAGATATAATGTCCATTTACTGACAATTATAAAATGGAAAGAGTATAATTAAGAAATATAAATGTAAATAAAGATTATAGCGCGTTAAGCAGTTGTTTTTGTACTGTGGCGAATGCATCGCCACTGCCTTAATTGTAATCGGATCGAGACACGAGAATTATAATAAAGATATTCGGAGAAACATATTCGGAATTCGGGAGAATAGCATGTGTATATTCAGTCCGAAGACCGCTCAGCTGTTCGAGGTAGAAAAAAGATAAACGCGCGAGTTAATCAGCGAACGAGCGAAATTATTGTATAACGATCACCGAAATATTAAAACGACATATAACTTTAAATGTAGCAACTATGGTGCATCGCAATGTATTTTTTATCTAAGTATTTGGATCCTCGATACAGCTGGAGGCCACGAGTAATTATCCGTTGTCTGAAGCGAATGTTATACGCGGTATAAGGGAATAAAAGAAAAGGAAATCGCGTCTATTTCAAAGCTAGCAACCGAATCGAACGATCTAGAAATAAATAGATTCTCCGAAGTCGAGTCACGCGATTGCTGGCGAGACAACGACAAGACAGATCGTTACCGTCTCTTGACACGTGCGAACGCGGAGCGTGTATCAATTATATTATTTAATAAAGACCTAACTGTTTGCTGTCGACAAAATATATTTTAATCTAACTCATTTAATCCGCATCCTAGCAAAAACTAAAGTACTATTAAAAGTAGAAATATACAAATTAGAGCATACAAATGAAGAGAAATACGTAGATTGTGCATCATTGACGTACACTTCTCTGGGTGTACTGAGTGTAAGCATTATAATAAAAAAAGAGAAGTAAAACGGTCATCAGTGAAATAGTAAGTATTTTCACACGATCAACGATCTGTGCCAACTGGAATTAGTTATAAAAGTATTGTTCATGGAGCAGCTGCGAATTATTTCATAATTCTAAAAGAAAATCAATTCTTAAATTATGCAATATTTATTTTATTACATTAAAATGTGACATCAACTTGTGTAATTTTCTTACAGTTTTCAAATTTTATGTAGTGTAATCAAAACACGCGTGTATTGATAACGAATTACCAAAAATACCGTTATTAAACTTCCGATAATAACAAGACTCTTTTAAATACAATTTTATATCGCATACATTTTTATCTCATAACTGTGATTGCCGCAAATATTTAACGAACGAGCATCGCGGTTAATTATAAGCGTATTCCACAGCGTTTTTAAATGCTTGAATATTTTTCATACGTGCGGGACATCAATCGGGTCTGGATAACGCGTGCAGATGCGGAACGGTAGATACAGATAGTGATGGAATGAGGGAGACAGCGAGAGAATGGGTTGCATCAAAATTCAGCATCGTTAAAAAATGAGATAATTTCAGGGCGAACCTAATTGTGATGGCGCGGTGACAAAATACGCTCGCGTTTTATCGCCCGCGGTAGCGAGTGGGGGAAAAAAATAAAAGATTATTGCAAATATGCAAGCGGCGCGCGTCGCGCGACACCGATCGCGAAAAAAGGACCGAGGCCGCAATTAAAATAATAATGAATACCTAATAAATCACTGATTGGACCGCGGGCGCAAATATGCGAGCCGGCGGACGCGAACCTCATTTCCCTGTATAAAAGAATAATAAACTAATCGCGGCGTACTAATACCCGCGCGTGTAACTCATCGCCCGCGTCATTATCGGCCGAATGAAATGTTTATCCGGAAACCAGTTGTCCGTTCTCGCCGATGAAATCATTTTGTACTTCCGTTCTTAGTAGCATGGGATGACGATTGACGAGTAACACTTTGCGTTTTTATAATTCAAGATGAATTTGACATTGAGCCATATAACATTTCTATATTAACTATCACATAATTATCACAACAATATCTCAATTTGTGTTAAAGAAAATTCGATAATGTATTATTCAAAATTTAAGTGAAAAAATAATCGCTATATAATCCTGAAATATCTAAAATAATCAAAGTAATGTGAATAATTTTTTTCAAAATCAAATCTTTTGGACTGTTACAAGATATTGCAAATATAACAATATTTTCTTCTTATTTAATAAATTTAAAAAATAACTTTTTGAATATTCTTTTTAAATATGACGTCATGAAGTACTCGTACGTAATTACACGTTGTAACACTCGCCTGTTACTCGTGTCATTACGTTTTTCGACAAGTCGAGGCATAGGAAATACAATGCACCGTTATTACTTTGGCCACGTTTAATACGATCCGATAATTCTGGCATTATAAATGTTACAAAATCCAACGCGTAGATGCTTCAGCCGAGCATTCAGTATGCGGCTTAATAGACTCGTCAATCACGGCGAATTGAATGATACAACCGGTACACGGGGGGTGGTAGAGAACTGTGGGGGAGAAGAGCTTCAGGTTTTGACGGATTATTATAACACAGTGGTTTCGCGTTATTAACAGTATACCACCACGCTGCTTTGATATTATATGCCATTCAGACGTAGCTGAAAGCGCGGAAATACCCTCATGCTGCAAATGAGCTATCGAATTACGCGATTCAAGCATTTTTTCGCTCGTCGCGTATACGTGGAATAAAGTTATCCTATCGAATTTGATAATACGAAGGCGGTTTTCTGAAACGGGAGTAAACGTTAGGATTCCTTTTGTAAATGTCACTAAAATTAATAGGAAATCAGAGGTTAAAGACTTACAAGATTTATAACTGAATGTAAAAAGAAAAATTTATTATAAAATTTTATAGTGAAGTAAAATATGAAATATTTCATTAAATAAAATTGTTTGCAACGTTTTAATATTTAAACATATTTATATAATATATTAATATTAGAAATATTTAGGACAAAATATGTACAGAAGATTCAAATTTCATGAATATCTCTCTCTTGTTCTTTTCTTATAATTACATAATAACATAATTTGTAGACCATAAATATATGGTTTATTTTGATAAATTACGTTTCTCTTTCTCTCTGTTTCTTTCTTTTATGATGCTCCAAGATTCATTCTATTAGATTTTTTATCAATCCTTTTTTGCTTTTCGTTTGTTCCAGGTGACCGATTCGAAAGATCTGCAGGTGCCCTTCAGCACGGCGGCATCGCTGGGCTACGGGCTGCATCACATGCTGCATTTGCCGCCGCAATTCCTACATCCGCTCGATCATAGACTGCCCTTCGGCGGCTTTCGGCCCTTGGTGCCGTCCGCGTTCGCGCCCCCCAGCAAGTGCCTCAAGGTCGAGACCGGGAACGGCGCGGTGCCAGGGA